GGAAAACTGTTGGCGATTATTTAGGCTTTGACGGAGTTTGTCCGGAGCATTTTCAGAAGCTCAGATATTTTGTGGAATTATCTTCGTGCGTTTCCAGAGTCTTGTACTGATTTAGGGATGTGTGATTTTGTCTAGGTTATCCTGTATGAACTACGGTCTAAGCTCCTAGTATCCCCCTGAATAACTGCTACTCCCCTTTCATAACTTCTTTAGGAGTTTAGACCCCGCACCCTAAACCCTAAACAACGGGGGTTGTGCGTTCCTCTATAGAATCCCTGCTTTAGGGATTCTACACTATAATATAGCTCGTAGTTGGAATTTTGGCTCCCAACCTTGCAAGTTAAGCCTGAAAAGCCGGTTTGGGGTTTGGGGTGTGAAGCCTTGACTGCTAATCCTATTAAAGCCTAAGGTTCGGCTTACGCATAGCAGCTGCGGACTGTGGCAAAATTACACGTTGCCTTCTTGCTCCCTACGAGAACTATATGTGTAAAACCCTAAGCCTTAAACTCTACAAGACCAGTTCAGGATCCTTCTTATTCAGGAAGTTCTATCGAACTTCTGGCGACCCTGCCGTTCACTCGTCTTGGCTTACCCTATTTCCACTCTCCGTTCAAATTCTGCACGGCGTGAGGATAATAAGGACATGTATACAAAACAAAAACAGGACCTGACAGAGAGGGTTGAGGGTTGGCAGGTCAGGTCTAACAAGGATAACCCTTTTGAGGCAACGTCCAAAGTCTCAATCCTAAATCCTACGCCCCAGGCCCTAGCTTGACCCATAAGCCGCCTGAATCCCATACCTGCTACACCCTAAACCTCAGCATCCAGATCTTGAGCCTGAAAGACCCTTTTAAGAGTTTTTGGGTTGTACCCGTAATGTTGTCCGTCTAGACCCGGTTCTCCAACATTTGACGCCAAATATGGCCGAGTATGGATGCCAATTCCCCACGGAGCTCCCTAAAAGGTCCCCCAAAACCAAGGCTACCACCCTGAAACCCTTGACCTGGGCAATCCCATGTCGGCTATACTTCATGATGCCGGAAGTAGGCGGCTGTGTGCAAGTCATCCCTCATGCCAAGGGTAAGTCACTTCACTTCACTACCACTTTTACAAATTGCACTATAAATCCCACACCCTAAACCCTATAGGTACACGCATTTCGTGATTGAAGTTTCCTCCTCGGAACTTTCTTCATCGGAGGAATCGTCCAAATCCTCCTGGCTTTGGAGAAATGGGCATGCTGCACCCAATCCTACGATGCTAACATACCTTGCATTCTTGATGGGGCTTTGAGCTAAATGATGTGGGTTGTATATATATATATATATATATATATGATCCAAGGTTCCTACCCATGGTATGGGTCCCCCTCCTCCCCCTTGTGGAGCGTGGTTGTTGTGGTCTGTTCTCCCTGTCACACCTATGCTGTGTTGGTGATTCTGCCCCTTCCCCCCCCCCCCTGTGGTCCCTGTGGTTCTGGTGGTCCTGTCCATGTGGTTCTGCTCCTCCCCCCTGTGGACCCTGTGGTTGTTGCGGTCCTGTTGTGCTGGTGGTTCTCCTGTCAGAGGCAACATGTGCGTTACTGGCCTCTGTCCTCTCTACGGTACAGACAGCAAAGCGGTCAGGTGTCTTTTGTCGACACTCAGGCACAGAGGTGCTGGTAGTCCCTACACTAGAACCTTGAGCATAGGCCATCATGCACTGGTGGTTGGACATGTGACTGCACTGGCAGGAGACTGAAAGCTTCACCCTGTGGTACCTATGCTGTGCTGGTGATTCTCCCCTCCCCCCCTGTGGTCCCGGTTCTGCTGGTCTGTCCATGTGGATCTGATGGTATATTGAAAGGGTGTGGTTACGTAGATGATCCTGCTTCATATCCCACATTTTTTCTACTGCTGTTACCTTAATTTTTCTAACGACACAAGTTTATCTGGAGTATAGCTATAGCCCCAAGTTTCAGCAGCACGAAAGTCTAACAGTGACGACGGTTACGAAGATCGCGACCCCAGGAGGCCCCTTCCCTGTGACCGTTGGCGCTTTTCAGACGCCAAGACCACACAGAGGTCCAAAAGTGATGACAGTTACAGGGATCGCGATCTAGGGGGCCCCATCCCTGTAACTGTTAGGCTTTTTGAGACGCGACGACAGCACGAGGAACAAAAAGTGACGACAGCTACAAGGCTGGCAGCTTTGAGGCGTCAAAACCGATGCCATCTCTGTGACTGTTGGCACTTTTGAGAGGTCTGGGCTGGGTGGGGGGGACCCATACCATGGGGGGGGGGGAGGATCCCCAGGACCGGGAACATACAGTGTCGCCGTCTCTCTCTCCTTCTTCTCACTGAACCCCCCCCCCCGCAAAAAAGGTGAAGGCCGGCGCAATGCCCCGAGCAGGCTCACACTCCGCATCCGCTGACCGCCCGACTGCTGAATATTCACAGGAGCACGAAGGAAGACGGACACTTACATAGCTACGCTGCTATAACCCCCCCCCACCCGAAAAAACAAAAAAAAAAGGGAAAGGCCGGCGCAACGCCCCAAGCAGGCTCACACTTCGCATCCGCTGACCGCCCGACTGCTGAATATGCACAGGAGCACGAAGGAAGACGGACATTTACATAGCTACGCGGGCGGCCAGACCCAATACACTCATCACTGCACGTAGTCCTTTGCGTGCTGTGCATGAGCTTCGTCGCTGCTGGTAACGGCTGTGAGCCACCGCAGCCGTTACAGGCACGTTTTGCTGGCGAGCCTTACTATACATGCGACTGGGTGACTGCTAGGTTGAAATGCATGTAGTATTGTGAATACAACTGACGTGTCATGAAGCCCTAGACTGAAAAGAACAATCCGTGGACTAGATAGACATCGACTGCCACCGTTCAAAACACCCCCATAACGCGGACCATGGTAGTGCTCAAAACATGCTTAGGCAGATTGCAAAGAATCGCCGTCGAGGTGGTTCCAAACCATCCGCATCCGATTCGCAAGCATGCTCTCCAGTTCTTCTGCCATGGCTGAATCCACGCTGTATCCCCGCTTCCCTGTAGAAGAGTCCTGGTCCCTTATTCCCAAGCATGCGCTCTCCCTCAAAAGACACCTATCATCCCAGACTCCCGGAAGAGACACCTTACATCAAGCCATGCTGGGAGAGTCAGTGACAGCGTATGCTGGAACATGATGCAACATGTACTGCACCATACATCTAGACCGCGTACGGCTGAAGAGTGCTGCATTGCGAATTGTGCTGGCGAGCAGGTGAGGGTCGCCGGCATTGGATCACTGCTATTGTTTTGCCAGATGTGTAGCAGAACAGTTCTTGTGACAGTGCTTTTTGCTACTTAGCACAACGCACAAGTGAGAGAGGCAATATACCACTGACCCACGCCTTCCTCAGCGCGACTCTCCCCACCCCGCCATGCGTGCCAGAACAGGTTAAAAAAACGCCTTCAAGGCACCTGGGGCATTGAACTTGCCCCGATAAGTAGATGAATTGCATGCCAGCAAAGCCTTGAAGGGTTACTATCCTACGTCTTACTGATTGGAGCATTGCGCAGGCCTTCAGACTCAGACCACCATATTTCAACGCCAGCCTGGGAAGCCCGGAGCTGCAGGGGCCACGGGCTGCTGGGCGAACTCGTGGTACGGCATGGGTGGTATCACGTCACTCCAATGAGACCCCGCAGCTTTGCCCAGGAAGCAGTCTCGGAGGCAAAGGCAAAAAAAACCGCTTGCAGGGCCATCGGAAACCTGGAAGCGCCCAAGACGCGCAGGGGAACGTGCTGCGGTTGTGGTGGCTCCACAACCTCCGCGACCAGGCCAGCGGGGTTAATCATGGCTTTGCCCGACGTGCATCACGCAGCCATCCTCCTGAGACACTTCCGGTTTTTTGGGACCTCTGCAACAGCAATTCTGGCTCCTTTGGGATCTCTGCTGCCTGCATCATGCAGCTGTCCTCCTGAGACACTTCCGGGTCTTTTCGGACATCTCGCTGCAAGGGACACTTCCGGGTCTTTTGGGACCTCTGCACTAGAAGCTGTCGCCGCCTCTCGCTCACTTCTGGCTCCTTTGGGATCTCAGGGTACACTTCTGGCTTGGCTTGCTCTCCCGCGCTTGCATACCGGCTGACGTTGTCCACCTTGATGGCGTTGGCCGCACGAATTGAGTGCAGAGAGGACCCCTTTGCATCGCCAATTTGTAGTCGTTACAAGAACTTGTGTGCCGATGTAGTCCGCTGCACTCCACGCTTCAGCGGGTGCATCCGCAGGCACCAACATGGCGCCAGGGACGATGATGTTTCGGATTTCGATATCCACAATCATCCATGGGCGGGGATGTATGTATTCAAAGTACAAATTTATGAGACGGTCCATCCTTCAAATAAAGTGCAGTATTATTCAGGACATCACCCAAACAACAATCAAAGCGAACATCTCATGTCCTAACTTGAAGCAAAATCGCTGCGTCTCTCTCTCTTTCTCTGTCTCTCTCCTTGTCTTCAAGGCTCAGAGTGTAGGACTTCGAACTCCGAGGTAGGATGTCCATGCCCACACGGACTTATTAGGAAATCAGAGCCATGCAGTCCTCGTATCTATTTGGGCGTAGAGACCGGGACTGTAGTTTGTGGAGGTTCAAAGAAGATGCTCAGCTTGGGGTCTTGAAGCCAACGTCTCACCCACCCCAAATTTTTGAAGCATGGAGCATTCCATTCTTATATCTTTCGCGGTGCGGAACAAGACTGGCAGATTGAGGGGGTATTGGCATTGAAAGAATGCAAAATGTGCGGGGGGGAAACATGCCAACAGAGCCGGGCCGTGGACTGAAAGAAAAGCCAAGAATAAACCTAACCCCTCATCCCGAAGCCGTGTCCACCCTCAACCCTTCATTCCAGTGCAATGCCCTAAGCACAAGGCCCCACTTCCTTCCCCAGCTTTTGCCTTTGAACTCGTTTCCCAACCACGGTCCAAACAACCGTCTCCCAACTCTTTGCATACCCTGCTGACCTTCGAGTCCTTCTGAAGGTGCTCAAGGATCACTTGCATAAGCGCAAATGTGCCTTCATCAGACCAATCACAACTTAAGCATCGATCAGGGCTTCGAGACCAGGATTGGAGCACTAAACTCTAAACCCTAAAATCGGGAGCTGTTTGGGGGAACCGGGGATTGCGTCTCAGGCCTTCAGTTTAGAAGTCAGGGTTAGACAGAATTTGGCCTTAGGCTAGTGCCGAGAGTTTAACACTCTAAAGCTACGTGGCTTTTTAAACCCCTACTAAGGGTTAACCCTTACGTACCTATAACAGGAACATACGCGTTAAGGGTCCAAGGTTCAAGATAAGTCCCAAGGGGACAGTATACTGGAAGCGCAGGCGAAGCATTCCCCCATCCCTGAGCCCCACACAGCGTTTTGTCCTCATGAGGCCTACGTTAAGGAATGACCCTTGGACCTCAACCACTGGGTCCCGTGACCCCAACTTGCCCCCCTAAACCCTAAACCTACAAAATACTTCCTGCGCATGTCAGGAACCAACTTCCATGTGTTGCCTATGCAGCCCGAGATGGGGGGCTCCCCAAAGTTAAGGGTACCTTTCTTTGGGGCCTCCAGTATAAGGATCAGGGTTTAGGGTTTAGGGTTCATAGTATTTTGGGGTCTATATTGGGGTCCCCTTTCTCGGAAATGGTAATCCCCATGAGGTCGGGAAGCTGATTTTCGTGGGCCTCCTTCGCCATGGTGGTTCACGCGCATGACTAGGCCGATGTACCTCGGCTTTGATCCAGCGTTTAGGGTTGGCAGTCTTAGACCGTACATCACACCACCTAGGCTTGAGTCTAGGGTTCAGGGTTAGACCCTGAAACTTCTTGGTGTTTGACTTTGGTGGATTGGAGTCGGTTTAGGGCTTCTGGCGGTCACAGATTTCCAGAACAAAGAGGCCTGGATGCCAGTTTGAAAAGTCTCTACACATTCAAGGGATGCTGTGATTATATCGGTCATGAACCAGAGAAAATTTGGAACCAACGTTTTCTTGTCAACTTCAGTATGAGATTGTGAGGGCTTATGACCTCATATTTCGTTCCCTCCTAGAATTCAAGGGCCCGTCCCCCAAATGTACATACTCCGAACCGTATTTGGTATAAGAGGGGGATGTATCATGCGACCCGATCATCATGAAGGGTATATCATGTGATCTTCTTGAAACCTCATTAAAAACTGAACTGATGCCGATCAAACCGATCAAAGGCCGAGTAACTCTAATCAAAACCGCAATTAAAGCGCAACAAAACCGTCACAAACATGAATCAACATCACATGAGAAGCCGTTGAAATCCGATTAGAATATAAACAACACCCATCTGAAATTCATGTAAAAAACGTAATCAAACCCCATTAAAACCAGTTGGGATATCTTTTAACATCAACCGAAATTTACAATCTAATTACAACAAAGTTGAAAGGGGCTTAAAACTGCGATGAACTCAAATTAAAATCAAATTCAGATTTTCCTCATTTCCTGAATAAATCCTTTCTAAAGAACAAAAAACAAGCATAATCTAGGAAATCAAGGAGACCCTCAATCCTTAAGAGTCGTGCCAGGGACCCACGGCAAGTTAGAGGATCCTAGCCGTGAATGGCTTTAGTCTTGGCCCTTTGAAAGTAGTCTTAGGGTTTAGGGTTTA